TAAATGGACCTTTAGTATAATTGGCCAATTAAGGAAGGTGGTGCTCTTTAACATCACCTTCTGTGTGCGCTGAAAGGAAGAAGAGGTGTGTTACCAACACCTGTGGTCCTTTCTCTGTACTCTTTGTACGCCTTCATCTTACAAGCGGTTATCACCATGAGTAGACCTTCTGACAAGCATAAGTATTCCCCATAAGAGGTGTTAGAGTGAGTATTATTTGCATGGCTGGGACTGTAAGACAGTGGAGCATCAAAGATATTCTATTCATATTCCCTAGATCAGGGAGGAAGGAAGGAGTTTGTATCTTTTGGACACCCAAGAGTAATAGTGATGAGATGTCGAAACACACAGTGCCTGACTGCTCACCTATTGCATACCAATTCAGATAATTTTCAGGGGTCTCATACCCTGAAATACAGCTCAGAATTTTTTGGTTTTATTTGAGTGAGCAAGCAAAGAGGAGTATCAAATTCCACCCAATTTATGCTTGAAACAAAGGAGAAGTTGGCTGGATATTTTGCGATGACTTTCAAAACTACACATGGAATCAAACCAATTCAAAATTTCTAAGGCATTTCACCCAGGGACACAAGTCTGATGCATTACTGCACGCTGCATGCATGCTGCAGGCTCTCCTTGGAAGCATGGCTCCAGCTTGACCAGCTAAGAGGCTGTATTCAGCATCCTGGTAAAACTGTGCTATGAAAGCAAGTTCTGCTGGGACTGCAATAAGGTACCAAACTCCCCTTTGATTGTAAGAAAAATTTCTGTGAAATGGTTATTCAAAGAGGAAACAAATGCCAAATCTGACCCAAATGTTTAATGCTGGCTGTGAAGCCTTTAAACTCTACTGATGTGTACTGATGCACCTTTTAAAGCTCTTGAAAATGAATCTGAGTGAAGGGCTATATGGAGGTGCCCTGTACATGTGCTGTATGTGTAGTACTGTTACCAGGTCAGCTGTGCTTTTCCTTCTTGTATTTCTCTCTGCCTACACCTCAGCAGTGTGAGAGGCTTCAGCCCTTCAGCTCTTACAGCTCTCAAGAAATTCTGTGAAACCAGCTGGAAACTGGATTCCAGCTCCTTAATTTCACCAGCAAGAGACCATTGGTCCAATATAAATCGGGCCTCGCATGGCTTCCCCTTTGATAGCAGCTGGCTAAAATGAGTAAAAAATTATTTTAAAAGAAAGGAACTTTGAATTATCAAATAAATTGAATAAGGTATAAAATCACCACATCTACAAACTACAGCTTCCACACACACATTTCATTTCAGTCCTTGGCCTCTCTCTTTCGTAGCTCAGTTGTCTCTAGATTATTGTCAGTCTCTGAGATGGGAGGAATAGTCTGCAATGGTCTCAGTGCCCACCTTATGTTGAGAGTGCTCTCTACATCTTTCCCCTCCTAAACCTTGGGTCTAGCTCCCCTATGGTTTTTTTCTTAATTCCTCCCTCCAGGCTTGGCAAAACAACTATGTAACTTTGGAAGGGACTAAAAAAATCTCTTCTTGCGTCTCTAAATCTGGCAATTTTCTTTGAGGGAATGCTCTTTATCTGAGCAACTGCATTAACTTTTCTGCTTGTATTTTCAACAACTTTTTTGATGGCTTCCATTGAGTTAGTTCCCAAGCATACAGCAATGCAAAACAGAGCAAAATGAGTCACACACAATGTTCGTAGTTTCCTAGATTGTTGCATTTAGTATTAAGTTATTGGAGTAATTATAGATTTAATACTTCCAGTGACATTTAATGCCTGTAGAGAATTTTAGGAGGTTACTCACTAATAGATATTTTCCACTAAATAAACTTAGTTCATAGCCATAGAGATAAGATGATGTCATACTTCTTCCCTCTTTCCCCACATAAGATCATCCAGGGTCTGCCATACTAAAGTGCTGCCTCATACTTTCATTTTCTGGTGAGAGGGATAAAAATTTAAATTCTCTCTATTCTTTCATTACAGCATTTCAGCATAATGCAGTGTTTTCATTACTTCCTTTTGGCCCTGTCCCAGTTCTGTCCACCTGACTCTGAGATACAGGAGCAGTGCATGTGTTTGGGTTTTGTTTTTTTTTTTGAAACTGAATTCTAGCATTTCTCAGCTAAGATGGTCTTGATGGGAGGGACAAATCTGTCATTTTTGCTTGTTAGCATTTTTGTATTGGAGTATGGAACCTGCCACTGTGCTGAGATTTTATAGCCAGCTTGGGAACTGTGTCCCATTTGTAAAGGTAAATTATGGGAGATTTATTAAATTGAAGAAGATGCATGCAGATCTCCTCAGTCTGGGTGTCATGTCCCATACCAGCACTCTCTTATAAAGGAGAAAAGTTTTGAAAATGTACAACTCTCTTTTCACCCCAACACTTAAAATTAACCCAGGATTCTTTAAACTCTTTCCACTGCTCCTATATATGATTTCCAGTGTGGACAAACTAAAATTGGCTATATAGGGCCTACGTTACTTCTTACGTATTTTGCATGTAAATCGGCAGCAGAAATAAAGCTTGATTCGATAGCAATCATGTGGATACTGAATGCATTTCCAGGAGGATTTCACACTAACTCTCTCTTCTGTCCCCTACCTCAGGCTCCTAGGCTGGATGAAAACACAGTACACAGCAACTCTTTTTTCAAATATTGCTTCCAATAAGGAGCTGGGATTTGGGAGGTGGGGCCTGCCGTGGTTTGCCCTCCGTGCGTGTGATCGTTTTTGTAAAAAAAAATAGGAGGCAATGGGGTTGGGAGGGGAGAATTCAGGACTATTGGAAACACCTGATTGCAAAGAGGAAATAGCAGATTGGAACTTTAAATCAAGTGTCCTGGAATTCAGGTGAGTGTCAGAGAGGACTTTCCCACCTCAATTAAGAGCTGGTGGGAACAGCTCCTAGTGGGAGTTGAACTCCTAAGTAGGTGTTTAACTGCATCTCTGGGCACCTCAATGCTTTCCACATTTGTTCAAGACAATCTATAGACTCCTCTTGTAATTTATGGTTTGGAAGAAGCTTTTCCTGATGACTCATACAAGGAAGATTTGAACTAAATGGACTTCCCATATGCATGACACATCTGTGTTGCGCTTAGCTACTTCAGTTATGGGAGAGGCACACAAAATAGCCTTTCAAAAGTGGAGCAGACAGTTCTCCCCTTAAAATTATATTGCATAAACCCTTATGAGTGCCCCAGATCTCGATGGTACAAATTTAGGTTTAATCTAGTGCAAAAGAATGCCAAGACTGAGCTTCTAGTTTTTGACTGCTGTAGTATGATGGGCAGACTGCAGCAGGGTACAAGGAAAAACATAAGTGGGGAGTTTCTGCATAGAATGAGTACCCCAGATTTTCATGGTGCAAATTTAGGTTTAATCTGGCAAAAAAGCATGCTGAGACTGGGCTTGTGGGTTTCACCTACTTACTATAACGGAGAAACTGCAATGAGATACAAAGAAAACCATCAGTGAGTACTTTCTGCAGAGGATACAAATACAGAGGACAGGACGTGCCATTATGTTCAGTTGTAGCTTACTCTTTCCTTGGAAATATTTCCTCTTTTGCAGTTCACTTTTTTTTTTAAATTCTACTACTCACATTTATTTAGTAATACAGGTCTGCAAGACCATTTTAGAAACTGATTTTTTTGTTTTATTCTTCTATAACAGTAGAAGAGAGCAAACTGAGACAGTTTATGGTCTAGATTTGTTTTATATTCTCTTATGTATAAGCTGACATTAACGATCTGACCTATATCAATTTTAAAGATATATATATATATATACACACAGAGACACGTATGTATACACATGCACTCTGTTTTCCAAGCATCTACAGGATTTCACCTTTTCATGTTTGTTACCTGAAGGCAAGTAATTGCTTTCTTGACTCTTACTATAGGTGAAACACTGTTAGGTTTGCTGTACTGACATGTTGCACGGTGGCTGTTGAACTAGGTTCTTAATGAAGTCCTCTCCTATAAGATGTTTCAGTCTTCAAGACAACTTTCTATTTAAAAAGGCTAGAAAGCAGCTGCCTTTGGGGCTTACTCATTTACGGTCACACGGAGGGGTTTTTTTCCTGCTGGGCAACCCTCCTCCTGGAAACTTCTGCTGCTGAAATGTTTGTGCATTTGGCCTGTCTGCCCTTTCAGCACATTTAGCATAGCACATTTGTACGTTTTATTGCCTACAGCTGTCATTTTTCATAGGTGGCCTTTGCTGGAGAGCCTAAGAGCATTACAGTCTAGGTGACCTTGTCAGCAAATAGAAGGACAGTTTATTCTCCCTTGACTGGCCTCTTTTTGAAGGCACCTGGGCTGTTACCTTGATATTAGTAAGGTCATCAACAACAGCAGAACTCGATATCCATAGAGAAGACCTAGCTTGTTTAATGCAACACCAGGAAATCTTACTGGAGAGCAGAGATGTGAAATCCATCAGTGGGAAGCTGGAATGGGTTAAGCCAGTGTGAGCTTTGATTTCAGTGGGAAGTCATCACATAGGAAATGATTGTGTGCCTGGGTCATGGAGACTTGTTTTTTTTTTTCTTAATATCTGGAAGAATCCCCTACCTTTGTGCCTTGTACACACGGTGCTTTTCCATGTTGCTTGCAACGGAGAATATCTCATTCTGTGTCCACCAGCACTGCGCAGAAGAGAATTCTCAGCACCAACGTGAATGTCTTGACTGTCCTTTTTGAATTCAGAAGTTCAGCTTGCACAGGTCAGACGTAGTAGCTTCCATGTGCTTCATGACCAAAAAGAAGGTAGCAACTCCCTTAACGAAAAGGGATTATAGTATCCTCCCTGAGCGGCAGCATTTCTTTGTTTTGAGGGTGGGACAAATGAAAAATGTGACAGTAGTGAAAGGAAAGAGTCATGTGCTTTTCCAGTGACAGCCTCCCTCCTCCTCCTCACTTCATGCCTGTGCCTGTGGTGGCTGGTGTTCAGGGTTATTACTTGTCCAAGTTTTCTGAGGGCTGTTTTCCTTATTGTGTCCATTCAGGTCTCGGTCAATCAGCGGAGCATCGTCTGGGCTCTCCACCAGTCCTCTCAGCAGTCCAAGGGTAAGTGGTGCTGCTTCAAGATCTGTTGGTCCAATTCACTCACACATGCTTGATGCTTTTCGACATCTGTTGCTGCAGAGCTGTGGCTCTTAGCTGGGATGTTTTGTTTTTCCTTGGCAGCTTGTAAATTTTCATGGGTGGTAAGGGAACTGTTATTTACAAATGTAAGCAGGGAATTTCTCATACGTGTACCCTGCACTGTTAGCGGGGATTTCACTGTGCTCCTGCCCTTTTTCAGTCTCATAAGCACACAGAATAACGTTCCTGTGACTAAACACTGCCATATCCAGCTGAGGTCTGTACAGGGCATGGTTTCGGACCAAATATCAGGGACCATTTCACAGCTTGCCTCAGAATAGCTTGTATTAGAAAGTCAGAGAAATAATACCAATTTGAAGGCTAGCAAATTTAAAAGGAAAGTAAGAAGCTGAGTAATTAAGATGAGAAAAGAACACTGAAAATAAGACTTGTTCACATAGAATCATAGAATCATAGAATCATAGAATGGTTTGGGTTGGAAGGGACCCCTAGAGGTCACCCAGCCCAACCCCCCTGGGCAAGGAGCAGGGACACCACTAACTAGATCAGGTTGCTCACAGCCCCGTCCAAACCTGGCCTTGAATGTTTCCAGGGATGGGGCCTCCACTACCTCTCTGGGCAACCCACATGCCCTTATTCAATATACAGTCAACTAAGTACCAATACTCAACTAATACTGATGCTCAGCTAGTATGAAGCATGCTTGATAGTACATCTGTTGCAAAGTTATTACAGTTTCTAAGTGCAATGATGGAGGCCTCCCTCTCCTAGGTAACTTCTTGAGGGATAAGAGTGAGGTATTCCTAGTGTCTGACAAGGTCAGCTTACTCACTTCAAGACTGCAGTCCTTACAAAAGTCTAGACCACATCAAGAAGTCTGTAGGGCTATGGCAATCCATGTTACCTAATTGTCTGGCCCAGAGTCTTTGAAGGATTTCTGCATACTTTTCACGACTTCATGAGAAGATGCCGTCCCCCATTGGAAATTTATATATTCCATGCGTTAGGGTATGGATACACCTATGGATCTACTCTTAGGTATACGAAGATAACACCAGTATTCCAAGTGTTTAAAATTATAATTCCCCAGTAACACTGTGTGGAATTCTTACACATAAAGACACACTGTTGGGTATAAGTTTATAGGCTCATAAAGCTTCCAACTCGTTGCTTGATTGAACTATTTTCAGAAACACATTCTGGGTTCCTATCAATTGTTACCCTGTTTTGCAACTGGCAAAACGTGTGTTTTGTGGTCTCTTCTGCGCCTTTAACGTGCCAGGAACCAGTAAAGATCCATTTCCTTGTTTCCGCACCGGGACTCCTGGACGTCAGTGGAATGAAGCAGAGGTCTGAGAATTCTCATGCCACTGCAAAATGTACTGAAAAAGAGCACGGAAACAGTTTTGTGCACAAAATAAGCGTCCAGTGCAGCAAACCTAAATCTTGATCTCATTAATTGATTTCTTGGGATCAATTTCTGACATCTCAGTAGGACTCCATCAAAGAATAAGGATGACGAGATCTGCTCCATAGTTGCTGTATCTTACCATTATTACTTAATAGGCAGTTGATTAAATAGTCTTCAAAGGGATTTAGCAACCAGATAGCATTTTCAGCAGATCATAATAATATTAAGGCAGGTGAAATTTGAGGCTTAAAAGGAAATGTTGGAAAAAAAATCTTTTTTTTTTTTAAACTTCCTTACTTGTGCTTCTAATAGCACCTTAGATTGCTGAAAGAGAACATATTTTTAAAAGCAAATATACATTTCGCTGTATGTGCTGCTTAAGTTCAGTTCTATGAGGAATTGAATTTGACGGCAACTAAGAGTTCTAAATCTCAGAAGATCTTGCTAATGGTGTTCTCCCCTTCAGATTCTTAATGACTTAAGTGGGAGCTGAATTTGACTTTATTTCTTTCAAATTTGTTTCTCAAACCGTCATAACGTAAGGTACAAAAATTGCAGGGAAACATTTGCAGTCAACAGTCTTTGACTTTTGGTGTCATTTGCAAATGGTTAATAGTCAGATGCTGACAGTGACTTCCATAAATTAACCACTTCCCTCATCTTTTCCCCTTCCTTTCTCATTGGTGATCAGAATTTACCAACATGGCAGACTTTAACTTTACAATCCTAATAATAATACAAATGTTTTGATGTACTGATTTTCTTTTGATTTAGGTGGCCTAACCCTAAGTTCTTTAAAGTAATTATGTGACGTTGATGCAAACAATTTTAGGAATTAAGTCTTAAATACATTTCTGCATTATTTAAATATGGCAACATTGTGCTAATCCATCAGACCCAGAAAGTAAAGTCACTAGTGAGTGTGCTTACCTGGGACTGAGATTTGAGGCATGGTTATGTGTACATGGTATGTCTGGACAGTGCTTGATTACAGCTTTTAGGTGTTAAGAATGGATAATAATGACAATAACGGTGATAAATAGTTTATAATAGGTAATAATTTATAGAAATCGGAATCTGAGTGCAGACCAAAGCTAAAGTTCTTGAGTAGTGATTTCTATTTTTACAACTCTGTCAGTACTTGTAATCTAAGGTGTTAACAGCAATTTTTTGTAAGGACATTCATTTTGTTTTAAATGTGATTTTTAGCTTGCTGACAACCCTTTAAAAGGTTTCTATTCTCCCAAGTCAGTGTATTGCTGTTTGCCGTTGACATACGAATGGTTTCCCAAAATGCCTCTAACATGTAACTGTTTTTGTTTGGGAAAAAAAATTCATAATCCCATTTTGATAACTCAGTGATGGATTATGAACTTTGGTTGTCTTTTTCTTTCTAAACTGTGTCTTACAATACAGTGGCTCACCCCACCCCCTCCATAGAATTGGGACTTAATGGCAAATATTGCTGAGACTTTATGACAGAAATTCCAATTATCAAGCTGTCCTTCGATGCAACGGGGGATGTTGCAGGAGAAGCATAAAGTCTGATGGGAAGGATCGTCTCTTCCCAGATAAACAAATTTGCCAGGCCTCTCTGAAGTTTTTGCTGTAGCTGTTTACAAATCCAACGCCAACCTGAGTTCATATTTTTCTCGTGGTGGTGTGCGCTCTGAAGCCTCCAAGTGAATGCTGAGCAGTTTAACCTTCCAGGCCAGGGGAGGAGAGTGGAAGCCCACATGGCATCACTTTCCCTTTTCCCCCTCTTCCTGCAATGGGTGGCTGCAACTGGGGTGTGCGTAAGCCAGAGTCAGGGGTAAAGAGGAAGGAAAGAGGTTCTGACTGGTGTGTGCAGTAGCCTGTGTCTATCGCCTACCACTTCGTATGTATCACACACCTGTTTTGAGTTTCATCTCTCTGCTGGGTTTGCATATGGGCACTTGGAGCGGACAGAGGTGGTCCCATTCTTGGCACATCTCAATTTGTCTGTGGCTTGAGTGGTTCTTCTTCCCCTTCCTCACCTCCCTCCAGCATCGTGCTTCTCTCACTGCAGGGCAATCAGAACAATCCCAGAGAGATGGCATTTCTCTCTTCTTTTTTCTTAGTTACTTTCTTTCATTTGTTTTTGGTTTTTTTTACTTTTCCTTTGTTTTACTTTTCTTTCTGTTGTTTTCCTTTGCTGACACGTGGTTGGTTAATATGATGAAGCCTGTTATGACACTGTTGTTCTTGCTGCTGCCGCTGCTGCTGTTGTTGATTATGCCGTGTTCCCAGCTAACTGCATGTCTTTTTTTTGTTTTTTGTTTGTTTGTTCGTTTTTGTTTCTTTGCAAAATCCCTCCCCCCCCACTACCCCTTCACCTCCATCTCTTGTGTCTCCTCGTGACATGGTGCATCTTTGTGACTCGGATGGATTTTATTCTGACTTTCCTTTCTCTGCTCGCCCGCTCTATGCGTATTTCACTGTTTTTGATGTGCATGGACACTCTGTGTCTGTCTTGTAGCCTATCAGAAAGTTCTTCATCCCCCCTCAGACCTCCGACCTCCCTTTCTCTCCCCGACCCCAAGTCTCCTTGGACCCTGATGCTTGTAGGAACGCCTCCAGGCCTGGACATGTACTCCAACCAAAGCCAGCACTTCAGCCCAACCCAAAGACGCAGACTTTGCCATCCAAGAGCAAATTGGCCGAAAAACCACTCCAGTCTACTAAATCCAACCCACTCCCCACCAGCAATACCAGCGCCCCCTCTTCCCAGAACACCCCTGTGCAGAATGCTCAGGGCCGCTCGCCTGCTGCCGGCTTTAACCCACAGCTGGCTGTTCCTAAAGTGCAGACCAACCCTATGTCTCCTGTTAGATTGCTCCCTTCTAGTACTGACCCAAGCACCAAATCTATCCCCATCATACAGGTTACCCCTCACCCCTCTCCAAGGGGAAGTCCCCTCCCTACCCCCAAGGGGACACCTGTCCATACGCCAAAGGAGAGCCCAGCAGGCACACCCAACCCAACACCACCATCCAGCCCCAGCATTGGAGGAATGCCATGGAGGACACGGCTCAACTCAATCAAGAATAGTTTCCTGGGGTCTCCTCGCTTCCATCGCCGGAAATTGCAAGGTGAGTACTCACCCAGGCATCCAGGTTGGTTCTGGTTTGGGCAGACATTCAGCAGCAAGTTGATACCTCTCTGTGGCTCTGCAAATTTCATGTACTGAGGACTAAATATTAGTACTGAAAATGAGAGTGATAGCGTCAGCCAGCCCTAACCCGAGGCATGTGTGAGCAGGCTCTGTCGTGCCACTGCACCTGCTCCAACAGCATCTCCTGAGCCCTCTTCACACTCCAGCCATACAGCTCTTTACTATCCCTGTTGTCCCTCTTAGAACACAGGAAAATTTTATCTCCAGCTTCTGCACTTGTCAGCAAACCTGACTCTGACGTTTTCCCTATGGCTCTACTCCACTGCCTCTCTGTAGCCACAGGCTGAGCCTTCTGCTGAAAAAAGATAGCCAGTGGCAATAGGCTGAAATTGTCCTGAAGCACAGCTTGTTTGATCTTGGCTAATGCTTTTTTTACCTCCTTTGCTAATTGGTGTAAAAATCTCCTTAATACAATCAGTGGTATCGTATCTGCTGGCCTATTTCAGTTTTCAGAGTCTCTAGAGTGTTGAGATGTGCAAAATTTTCTTCTTCAAGCTCCAGGTGACTTTTTGCATTCAGGCAAAGGGTACTCAAAGTCATATGCATTATCCTCAGATGTCATCAGCCGCTATCCCAACACGCTATGGTTTTACAGGGTACTGGGACATGATCCCATGGGAAATGAGGATTACAGCCATGGAAGAGGTAGATTTTGAACTGTGATGGTCAGGGACGTTGTCTCTGAGATGGTCAGCGAACTATGGAGAATTGCAGCAGTGACTGAGCTGCATCCAACTGGGCTTTGAAGCAATTGTAAAGCAATCAAATTGGCACAGTGTTTGGGTCCGAACCAGAAACCATTGAAGCTGGTGCAAGATTACATAATGATTTAAGGAAGGGTAGGGTGAGCCTTGAAAGTCAGCACTTGATTAGATACAGTGATCTAGAGACGTATGACCAGTGTTCAAATGTCAGTACTAGTCTGCAGAGGCAGTGGGCAAAGGCAAGAGAGTGTAATACCAGAATTGTTACATTGGCATACAAGCAGAAAATGGAAGGTATATTGAATCATCCATTTCTTTTCTCCCTCTCTCTCTTTGGCTGTGCGTGCATGGGCAGTACCTACACCTGAGGAGATGTCTAATTTAACCCCAGAATCATCCCCAGAGTAAGTAATTTACCAGTACACTACTTTTTTTCCACCACATACCAATGTCATTTCTTTGCCTGAATGTCACAGGGTGATGTATTCCTGTTCTGGATTAGTATCTGACTGTAACCTGTTATCTGGTGAGTGGGATAGAGATGTGAAATGGTTCTTCTGCTAAGGACCCTGGATAAAATCTATACCTCAGTAATGGCAGTGGGGTCAGCAGGTGATGAAACAGTCTCCCAGTAACCGCCTCATTTTAGAATCATAGGATCATAGAACAGTTTGGGTTGGAAGGGACCTTTAAAGGTCATCTAGTCCAACCCCCCTGTAATGAGCAGGGACATCTTCAACTAGATCAGGTTGCTCAGAGCCCCGACCAACCTGACCTAGAATGTTTCCAGGGGTGGAGCATCTACCACCTCTCTGGGCAACCTCTTCCAGTGTTTCACCACCTTCATTGTAAAAAATTTCTTCGTTATATCTAGTCTAAATCTACCCTTCTTTAGTTTAAAAGCATTACCCCTTGTCCTATCGCAAAAGGCCCTGCTAAAAAGTTTGTCCTTGTCTTTCTTATAAGCCCCCTTTAAGTTCTGAAAAGCCGCAATAAGGTTTCCGAGGAGCCTTCTCTTCTTCAGGCTGAACAACCCCAACTCTCTCAGCCTTTCTTGATAGGAGAGGTGCTCCAGCCCTCTGATCATTTTTGTGGCCTCCTCTGGACCCACTGCAACAGGTCCATGTCTTTCTTGTGCTGAGGGCTCCGGAGCTCGATGCAGTACTCCAGGTGAGGTCTTACCAGAGCAGAGTAGAGGGGCAGAATCACCTCACTTGGTTTCCTGGCCACACTGCTTTTGATGCAGCCCAGGATGTTCTGGGCTGCGAGTGCACATTGGTGGCTCATGTCCAGCTTTTCATCCACCTGTACCCCCAACTCCTTCTCTCCTCCTCCCTTTGTCCCCCAGCCTGTATTGGTACCAGGGGTTGCCCCGACCCAGGTGCAAGACCTTGCACTTGGCCTTGTTGAACTTCATGAGGTTCACATGGGCCCAGTTCTTGGTTTTCTCATGGCTTGCTGGGTTTACTAGGTTTGTAAATGTTCCTTCTCTCTTCTTTCATTTGGTTGTCAAGCAAATCACTCTTGGGGAGTGGAGAGGTTAATCAATGGTTTATACTGGCACTAGCTATGCACTAAAAAGTCTTCCTCTTAGTACAGGAGGGTGCGCATCCTCAGGATAACATGCAGAAGCCTCTGCTAAGATAATTCAGAGGAATCTTTGGCTGCGACAGTAAACGCAGTGTTAATTCTGGGAAGCAGCACTGGGACATGCAGAAGCTGTTTCATATTCACCAGACTCATTCCTAAAAGTCAGTGTACATTTCAACCATTTCACTGCACAAATGTGCGTCACTGCATGGCAGGTTTGGAAGTCTCTGCCAGAGAGTGCTGCTCCAAATACTTCCTAATATATGCAACAGATGCCAAATTATTCCTTTTTATTTTCACAGCTTGTGTTTGTGCACCCTATGCCCATAGACTTACCCTGCCAACCAAGGCAATTTGGTCTTTTGTCAAGACACTTGTGTGAAATATTCATGAGTTGTAGATGGAAATTTTGAGCCCAAAGTTTTGTTAATTGGTGACAATGGTATTGCCTTAACAACTTTCCCCAGACCTGGCATTTATCTGGTGTAAGATGAGCACTCTATAACTAATGCTGCAGAATGGAGAGGGATGAAGACTTCAGGAGAGGGAGAAGTAGGGAATGGTAAAGGTTAGTAAAAGAAATCCAGGAAGAAAAATGGAATAAATTGTGTTTTCAACACTTTGGAGCATTTACTAATAGAGTGGCATGAGAGAACTTCATAAAATGAACACATCCTTATCAAAGAAATATATTATACTCTCATCTCAAATGTTTTTAAGGCTGTTAAAGCAGAAAACCTTCAGAATTCAATTTCTCCTCTTCTCCTCATGCATGTATATTGGTTGGAGTTTTTCTGTTAATTTATTGCCTTCTCTGCTTCCCACTCACTCTTTAAAAGCTGGTATAGAGAAGTAGTGCCTGTCATTTGAGGCAGTTTGGATGCAAGTCAAAGCCTAAGGCCCTTTTTTCTTTTTCTGTATAATTGCCAAATTAATGAGTTCAATTGGGCTGCACCCTGCAGTAAACATAATAAAAGTAATAAAAAATAATGAACTGAATTATATTTTAACGATAGATGTCTTGTTGCTCAGTGCCCACTTCCACATGTCTTATTTTTTCTGGTATTTTCTTCCTTTCTGTAAGAAATAAGGTGCCCTTATCAAGAGCTGTATTGACCTCATGGGTTGAGCGATAAAAATACATGTCCTTGCTCTGGAACAGCATTCTTTAATGACTGCCATTCATTTAACAAACTTGATGATTAGGTAATAGACTTTGACATGTCTGGGTAATGCTTTTCTTTCTCATATGAAAAAGTCCTAGAAAATGTGTTGGGGATGACATTTAAAGAGGCATAGCTCCAGCTGCTTTAAACCTGCAAAGCTCCATTTGCTTGAGTAGAAATGCTGTTATTTATGCCAAGCAGGTAAGCCTCTGGAGGTTGCAGATCATGCACTCAGGGACGGATAGGGAAGGCAGTGAGACTCTCCAGAAGGCGATGCAGTCATACACTCCAAAAGCAGGAAAAGGAACAACATTATAGCAGTGAGAAATTCAGTGTGAAGTAATAAAGCACCAGCCTCCATTTTCATGCTAATCTATTTGCTTTTTCATCAACTGGACACTTGATTAGTTTCCCTGGAGTAATCTAAATACCCAGCCTCCCACACATATCTCCTATCTCCCTCCCCCTTAGGAGGTTTGCCATGACAAGAGAAGATTGTTAATTTTAAGTATGTTTTTTACTGCTTACAGCCTGATCCTGTGATATGCTAGACCATCTCACTCAGGGTTCTGAGGATCATAGAATCATAGAAAGTTTTGGGTTGGAAGGCACCCCTAGAGGTCATCCAGTCCAAACACCTGCAGGGAGCAGGGACACCGCTAACCAGATCAGGTTGCTCACAGCCCCGTCCAACCTGGTCTTGAATGTTCCCAGGGATGGGGCCTCCACCACCTCTCTGGGCGACCCATTCCAGTGTTTCACCACCCTCATTGTAAAGAATTTCTTCCTTCTATCCAGTCTAAACCTACCCTGCTTATCCTTGATTCACACCCATTTTAACCCAAGTTAGTTGCACTTAGTTCCCTCTAAGAGAAGAGAAACTTCTATTGTGTTGTTTTACTCCGAGGCTGCCCCCTCTTCTTCAGCGGGCTTGTTCCCCCGGTCTATGAGTGCAGCTAGTCCTGCCAGTTTCAGGGAGAAAAGGCGATGCATGTGAGCTATGTCTCAATTCTGTTCATTCCAGAAACAGGAGAGGCCACTGGCATCTATTCCATCTTATGCGACACCAGCAAAATTATTTAGTGAATTCCAGTGATTTACAAGCTGGAGCGTAGCCCAGGATATCAGTGAATCTTCCAGAGTCAGTGTTACTGGTGATAACCTTGCTGAAGAAAATAGCCCAGCTGGGACTCTGGAAACTCCAGACCAAGTTTCCAAGCTGAACAGGAGAAAACCTCCCTATCTTTTGGGGCCCTTTTAACCTGTGCTTGTTAAGAGACCTATAAATGAAGGGCCAACAAAATCATTAGTGAAAACACAAAAATGAAAAGCCATATTTTAACATGGCAGACATGCAATTAAATATGCACACTTTTTCCAGGCCCAGCTTCCATGTGTGACATACACTGGGCCCCTGGAGTCCATATAGCCAACGCCAGTATAGACTATGATACATACAAGCCTAAGACAACCAGCCGTTTTAGATGGATAACCAGGTGCTAATTTACTAATGAGCATAGACCCTTTACATGCAGGGAGCTATTGCCCCAGCTCTCCAGGGGCTTGCGGAGTTGTTATGGTGTGTGCGAGACACATGAGCTAATTAGTATGTAATTTCCTTTCACATTCTAACCCTGGCTCCTTAACGACCCATTTAAATGAGAGGCCCTTTCTCTTTACTGCTCCCTATGCTAATCTCTGGCTCACTGGCTTAGTTACAGCTGCCTCTGAATATTTTAGGGAGTGACAGTTTCCCAGCCCACTTTAATTGAGTGGGGGGCACTGGTTTACCAAATTGCAAGTGAATCTTTCTGTACCCTTATTTTTGGTTGCCTGCAGAAAGTAGAAGCAAATGATTATTTGCACAGCTGAGCTGTCTTCCAGTTGTGGTCTTCCTACTGCGTGCATTAAATGGGCAGTGAGATGACAGTTGTGCGATTCATGGAGCACTCTGGAATGGGGAATGAGTGCAAATTGCTGGACACTGCTGAGGTCAAGCTTTGTTCTTCATCCTGAAGGTCTAGACTTCAAATTAGTTTCCTAGTTTGCTCCTCGCTCTCCTAGTCTCTGCCCTTCCTCATTCTGCTTCACTCTGAGTCTTTGCCGCAGAAAGTGAATCTACTAATAATTCTCTCCAGCTGTTTATTGCTTTGCTGGAAAACTGACGTATAGTAATCCTTTTTGCAGATGGCTCTCCTTGTCTGGAGAGGTTGTCTTCTTCCATTAAGTGGTGAATGTTTGCCAAAACAAGAGAAAGCCTATTGCTTGCCATACTGCAAACTAGACTTGTCATGGCATTATAAAGTATCCTGTGGACGGAAAAAACTTCAGTCTCTTGGTGGCAGGGCTTTTCATTTCTGACATTTTCATGCTAAATTCTTCCCTACTAGAATATGGCTTATTTCAGTGGAATTTTCCCTGGGTTTAGGTTGGTCCAGCAATTCTTTGGCTGTATCTCATAGCTGACAGCATCTTCTTTCCCCTCGAAACCACACCTATCCGAGTGCTACCTTCAAATTCTGGGTAGTGTCCCCCAACAGCATTCATGTCACTGCATTTTTCCTTTAGCCTGTTAACTTAAAAGGGAATGTCAACAAAGTGCATTGAGATGCTGAAACAATAAGCAAAATCAAACATTGGCTGATACAATCAGTGGGAAAAAACAGAGCAATTTAATTTTATGATGAAACCACCATCTGATGCAGAAAGTAACTGCAAAGTTGGACTACTGTCGGTAGAAAGCCTGAACTGTGTTTTTGCATGGTGTCGATATCTTCTTCCTTAGTACTTGAAAATTCCTTCCTTTGTAGGATGGCCAGAGTTCACTCATGTAGACACCCTGAATAGGACTAATGAATGGAACAGCCTTTGTCCTGGCCCTCTATGTAGGAGTGGATTTCACTCACTGCCAGATTGGAGGTCCAGTGAAACCTACAGCTCGCTTCAAAAAGCAAGATCCTGTGATTGTAATGTCAACCCAGCAGGGCACCTTCAGAAAATGAACTTTCAAAGTCCTAGAACACCAAAAGGGGTTGAAATTGGGTGGGAAGGAACTTAGATACCTGTGTTACCAGCATCTGCATATTGACACAAGAAATTGAGAGTTTCCTGGAGACAAGAAACCACAAATGTGTCCCCTGGCTTATATGCACTTTCTATATGCAGTATTAATTGGTATATTGGCTCAGGCAAAAGAATTACCATTGCTCCTGATTTTTCATTGTTGGTCACATGTGCTGCCAGACTAATACTGTGTATTCTGTCATTTTAACAGTTTTCACTGTTAAATGTGAAATACCAGTGAAACGTTGTTCTGGATGTTCTCTGACACTGTTTTCTACTTACTGTTAGTAATACTATCACATCTGGAGTGTTATGAAAACTTCCTTCTGTGTTTTTTAATATTGTTTCTATCTGAGGATATGTAAGAAACGGTGATGAACATTCTAAACCATCTCTCTCTTTTCATCACGTCAGGCTTGCCAAAAAATCCTGGTTCGGTAACTTCATCAACCTGGAGAAAGAAGAACAGATTTTTGTGGTCATTAAGGACAAGCCACTAAGCTCCATTAAGGCTGATATTGTCCACGCTTTCCTCTCGGTAAGTCACCCCAGCTGCCTCTTGGAGGCATTGCTCACTGGTCAGTTCCAGGACTCCTTGTGCCATATGTTACTGGGCAGGGTCTCCGCTTCTTCAAATGCATCCTCTGTGGATTTAATTTACGTGGTCTGTTGATTCAGGCCTCCACTAGACTCTGTCTGAATTTCTAACAGTAAGGTGAGAAAAGATTTCAGCCTTCTTGGCAGGGTCTCCAGGTTGCCAACGCTTGGAATATCACTGCCGTTAGAGCACGCTGCTGGTGCAATATCAAGACAGTGATCTGCTGCTTTGTCAAACTAACCTTACGGTCACCGTCTAGGCATCAGATTGGCTCTCCCTCTGCTGCGTATGCCCCCCACCACTTCAGTCAGACAAAAATCGTGTCTTACATCTCCATTTGTTACTTTAAATCTCCTCTTCAATGCTGTATGGCAGAAAGAAGGGTAATTCCCTCTGGTGGCCAGAGTATCAGTTGTTGCAGACGCAGCTGATTTGCAGTCTAGGAATGCAGAGGGAAATTGTCATTTTTTTCCTATAGAAAGTCCTTATTCTCGCTATCTAGAAGTATCAATGAAGAAAAAGTCAGCACAGTAAAGTTAATTTGACAGATTTTTTAATTCAAGGTAGTTGACAATTTAATTAGACTTTTTTCAATTGGAATTAAGAGAAGGAGACTTAATTTCTTTTCTCGTTTGTTGAATTGACATTGTTTTCCACAAAATACTGCACTTCTTTTTAGTGTCTATGATGCTGCAATGAATTTCTTCCAAAAAACCAGTCATAATCCTGTTAACTGTACAGGCATACAAGGAGCAAGTGCAGTATAGTAGCATGCACCAGACACTGGTATCCATCTCAGATTGGTTTGAAGCAGCCATGTTACTATATCGGTGTCATGCATTTAGCTGTGCTTGTGGGTTTATATTGTGTAGTGTGCACTACTGTCTCTATTGCTGATCCTGTGCATACCCCACATGTGTGGGTTGAGGTGTGATGTAGTGATTTGTGTGCAAGCCCTATGAATCATCTCTTACAGCCAACTTCAAACTTAAATGCATCGTCACAGCCTGCTAAGTAAGTCCTTAAGGTCAGCTTCTCAAAGAATTTATCTTCATTTTTCCTCCTAAATCAGAGGCCAGATTTCTAAGTGATTTGGTTTTGTTGTTTTTTTAAATTTGGTCCTTTATGAAGCAATAAGTAGAATGTGAGTATGTTAAATTTTGACAGGGATTGTGAATGGTAACTGCTTGAAAATCAGTCAGTTATGAAATTCTACCATGGGTCTGAAGGTACAGGTATTGGATGATACCAGAAAGCTTCTCAAAGTTCTTTTACATATTGATAGGAGTTGTGGTTTGGGTAAGTTATTTGCAGGCATGCTTTCCCTGTGGATATCTCAGACACTTGTCTAAGTGTCTCTGTGTCCTGGTGTCTATTTGATATCGTAGAATCACCAAACAACTGAGGTTGGAAAGGACTTCAGGAGTTCTCCTGCTCAAACCAGGATCAGCTATGAGATCAGATGAGGCTACTCAGGTGGTTTTTTATATCCAGTCATACATCCCACGGACTTCTCTGCCCCTTTCCTTAATAGCAGTTTTCAGTCAGCAAAAGGCATTTCTCAAAACTGGTAGCTGAGTAGGAGAAGAAAGACTGAGTGTATGAAGTTGTGCTAAATGTGTAAATTTATAAGCATGCTGGGTATTCCAGCAATATTCAACCTTTCAGCTTAGGTCAGTCCTGTAAGGAGCAGCGCATTCTTCTGTGGTGCCAACCAACCTACATTCTTACTGAGTTCACAAGAAGACTCCGTACATTACAAATTCAAGTTCAGAAGCGAATCCAGCAAGTCTTATCCACTCTGGAAATGTATATTTTTCTGAATCAAATTATGCAATTTTGTTCCCTTTGTGCTCTGGTTCTACTATCTCCTTCTACCAACCTGTTTCAGATTCCAAGCCTCAGTCACAGTGTCATCTCACAGACAAGTTTCCGTGCAGAATATAAGTCCACAGGAGGTCCTGCTGTCTTCCAGAAGCCAGTGAAGTTCCAGGTGGACATAACATACACAGAAGGGGGAGAGGCACAGAAGGAGAACGGGATCTATTCTGTCACTTTCACACTCTTATCAGGTAACCACGGCAAAGCTGTAAAATGGGTGCAAGCTGGCTTTGTTCTTGCTGATATAGAGGCCTAGAGAGGCAAAGAGAGCTCTGCCAGGGGAAAGAATATAACTATCTTGACCTCAGGGGAAAATTCAGATGGGGGCAAGGAGGATATCGGGAACAAAAATGGTGTTGGTAGTGATGGAAATTCTGGGAGAGAAAGAGATTCCCAAAGAAGTGAAGTTGCCGTCACCATGATGAGTGCTAAAATGGCTGCTCTGTGCATCAGATTTGAAGTATTTCCCTGTACTGTCTCCTTGTTTCACTCAAAGGTCTCAGTGACTCAGCTGGGCACTGTGAGGCCACTGTTTTCTTGTTCCTGACAGAAACATGCAATCACCCTTTTCTTCTGGGTGGCCACATGCCTCCCACAGGGGTTAAAACAAACAAAAAGAAAGCCCTCACCTTTTCTGTCTTTACAAAAGGAGCCCAGAAGCCATCCTTCCCCCTGTTAAGGCCAGCACACCATGGTCCCTATTAACATGGGAACTACCTAATAGTTCCTCAAAGCCATGTCGTCAGCTGAAGGACAGATACACTGTCAGTACACTCTTAGGGACAAGACTGAAGGGAAGATGTTTGTGATCCTTCCCCTCCAGCCTGGGTTGTATGAGGATTTGGCTCCTGCTCCTCTCACAGCCATTTGTGCCTCTTCTCTCCTCACAGGTCCAAGCCGTCGTTTTAAGAGGGTAGTAGAAACCATTCAGGCACAGTTGTTAAGCACACATGACCAGCCTTCAGTGCAGCAGTTATCAGGTAAGTAGTTTCTACTGTTGAGCACCTTGCTTCAGCAGGGACAGGAAGGTGAAGTGCCTCTCAGTACCAAGAGGCTGAGGGAGGCCATCCCTCTGATTACAACAAGAAATGAGCTCCATTCAGACAGAGCAGTAACTCCCCACACCCACCCTACTCCTCCCTCTCTCATTCCCACTCCAGTGCTCCCGGCGCATTCCCCAGTTGAACAGCTTCTGCCCTTCTCCCGCCTAAAGAGCCATTTGCCCACTTCTCCATCAAAAGCTGCATGATCAGTAGATCTTCCAGATTTTGTCCAGCTCCAAAATCTCCCAGAATAGGGACATGCTCTAGAAGATACATCTAGAAGATGCTTTAGAAACATGCAACTTCAGAGGGGCCCAGAACAAGGCTGAGAGCTACTTTTAACTTAGCCATTAACAACAGCATTTTCAGATGGTCAGAAAGTAGCTAATAGTTTCCAGTAGTGTGGTCAGATTCTTGGCCCAATACTCTGGTAGCACAAATCAAATACTAAGGTTCTGCAGAAGCTATATTTTATGTATTTGTAAAGTAAATTTCAGTTCCTCATGGTGGTAAAGAAAGCCTTACATGTGTGACCCTGTCCAATGACATCAATCTGAATCTGCTGGCAGCCTGAATTGATAATACAGAAACTGGCCTCATCCCACCATTATGTAGAAATGTTTACTCTGAATACTAGCGGTGACACACACAAAAAAAACGTATCAGTCTTAACTCTTCTATCCTTTAAAAGGACAGAACAAAGGAAGAAGGTGAAAACTGAAAACTTAAGGAAGCTTAGCTATTGGGAGTGCTTCAAGGAAGGAAAAATGGGGAGAAGCAGAAAGAACGTACAGGTACAGGGGAAAGAAATAGGAGCAAGGCAGAGAGCAGAGGCTGCAGGAAGAAGGCAAAGAGGCAGAAGGAGTGGGAAGAATTTTCCCATCGTATGATGATGAAAAGGTAGTAACTAAATATTATATATAAGAGTTGAATTCTGTGCTTGACCTTTGTGTGAACCAGCCAAGACAAAATTGGAGGAATGAAGTCAGCATCGCATCCTGCAGTTAAACCCCAGATGTCCTTGGCTCATTGCACATATGGGTTACATCCTTCTGGTCTAACAGTGTGGCTTTAACAGCTGAAGATAAAATAACTCCATCTAGAAGGGTGTATGCTCACTACATGACAGAGAAGTATGCTCAGTTCAGGAAATACTATTTTCCACTTTGCTTTTGCCCTCCAGCACTGCTTGACCTTCTGCATGCTGGACTGCAAGGGTACCCAGCACATGGGTTATTCTGTTAGGAAACAGGAAAGGTGAGGATACTAGAACGGGTTGATTCAGGTTTTTTGCTGTCTGGACCTTGGAAATTAAATCAGAGTCAAGGAAGCAGCCAGAATTTTCTGCTAACCCTTCCTCTTGGGAAGATGCTGGGGCCAAGTGGAAGTGAGGGGAATTAGATAGAAAAGCATCCTTTGAGTCTAGTTCATATTACCCGTGTTGCATGAACAATGTTCAAGCATTCCTTGTTTCTTAAGGAAAGAAGTGCACCCTTGCTTTCTGGTGAGGAAAAAACTGTTAAAATAGTAAATAACATGGTGATCTCTCTTAACTTCTTCACCCTAATATGTGCTAGCTACTGAGGCTCCCTAGAAAGGGATCCAAGAAAGACTTGGACCCTGTTGCACACTTGCATGTGAAGCAGGATATCTCCCTTAGAAAGTCATATTATAGCAGGTATAAAAAACATTCATCAGGGAGATACTTAGGGCAAACTGTGCTGTGAGAAGTGTATCTGACTTAGCGTTTTGCTCTGGTTCTGGAATGGAGAAATCGTATTATAGACATAGAATCTCTTTCTACTGCCTAAAGCTACATGAGAGCATGTTGTTCTAGCAGGGAAAACCCAGCCTGATCTTTAATGCCAGAATGGAATGGATAACCCCACATGGAGCAAAACCAAAATGAATGGTCTCTTGAAACTTAAAAATGAGAATTCCCTCAGCCAGGGAAGACAGCTCACGAGAGACAGGGTGCCAAACTATCCTGTATCATGTCACCTGGCCTGATCAGGAATATGCAAGTCTCTTGAAAAAGAGACAAGTAATTTAACCTGAAAAAAATTAGGTTGGAGCAGAATAAAAGGCAAAGAGAAAAGGAAGGGGGGGAAAAAAGATTGTTACCAAGAAGAGACAACCTGTGCATCAAAGTAGAGAGGCCCCGTGGTTCACATCCCCAGCCAGTGAGACAGTAAGGGGAAATAAAGGGATGAAGGGACAGAAGAGTTCACATTCAGCACCTTGCTTAGCTGGGTGGCTGTGGTTGGGAAGATGTGTGCAAGAGCTTCCTAGAAATTGCCTTGGAATTACCCAGCATTTCTTACTAGAAGCAAGGCAAATTCTTCACTGTTTCTCTTCTTCTCCCATATTCTCAGCCCTGACATCTCACGGGAATTGTAGTTGTCGGACTCCTATTCAGGTTCATGGTTTGAGGACACTCTGTAGGCAGTCCACTGCTGCAACAGAACGAGCTCGCAGTTCATTTTGACTCTCCTCCTCCGTGGCTCTGAGGGTACTGCTGGCTCTGACCAGCAATACTGGCCCAGCACTGGAGATCCTCCTAGCTCATTGTGTGCAGACATATCCTCTGTGCGGTTGTCTCCGCTGCCTTTTAGTTTAGATGGGACGATGAAAACCATCTGTGAAAAGTGCATGCCTGTAAAGTGAGACCTGCAGAAGGGGAAGATTCAATGAACACAGTATAAAGCAGAACAGCAAGACCATTAGGTCTAAGCATATGGCACTGGTAGTCATTCTCTCTCCTGCCCCTCTTTGATCTGTTATGCAGCATGCCAGCCCACTAAGCCGGCTTGCCTGGGTTTCAGAACGCACTTTCCTCTTTCTCATTTCCTCCAGTTCACAACAGTGTTTGTAGATGTCACGTTGCCCATGCATCTGTGTGTGTGTGTGTATGTGAGCCTGATATGTACCTGATTTAGGCAGATGTGTTTCTGCATCACACTTGAACACTTTATAATCTCCCTTCCCCCTGGATATCCCTCCATTCACTTCCTTTTTTCCTTCCTAAGACTGGCTTTGCTTATTTCTTCTGACATACTCTGAAGCAGGAAAATAACTTCCCTCCCTTACCTGAATAAGTGTGTAAATAAATGAAACCTATCCCAAAAGCTGATGTAATACTTCTAAAATCCACTGTCCAGTTGGCCAAATTTAGTGCAACATATCAGCCTTCTACCTTAATGTTTCAGGACATTTTCATACCTCTGTGGTATAACTGCTGAGACAATACCAGGTCTACAGACTCATGACTGGCATAGAACAAGTAGCTTGGGATTGACTGTTCATTTTTTCTTCCCAATGCAAGAACTAGAGGCCGTCATATGAAACTAGTGGAAGCCATGTACCAAAAAAATATTGGAAAGTGTGTCTTCATGTAATGTGGAACTCCTCACTGAAGCAGGTTCTGAATGTGAGGAGCTTGCAGATGCTCATCTTCCCCTGAGTACTCCTTACTCACAGGAAGGCTGGACAACTCCCTGGAGGAGAAATCTTCATGAGGATGGCTAAATGGAGAAACTGCAGCAGGCTCAGGAAATCTCTGACCTGAAAGTGGTGAGAGAGTGAGGTAGTGTTAGGAGGAAGTGTTCTGTATGTTTGGCCCGCTGTTACACTCCTGCATATCTATGTGTGGCTGTTGATGGAGACAGAGCACTGCATGGGTTTGGTCTTTGATCTGAACCAGAATAGCTGTCCATGTGTTCTTGTTACTGGTATCACAAAATCCATTAAGCCCAGTGAGGCCATGAAAGGACAGTCCCTTTTGGATCAAGAGCGAGTATCGCTGTCTGTGAGAGCAGCTGGCCTTGCCTCTTGTCCATGCATGGTTCCATCCAGGAGCCTTATACTCAGAATCTCTACTTAGGTAATCCCTGGGCAGGACTGCCCTTTGGTGGGATAAAAAGATCTCTCTCCATGAAAAAAAAATCTCAGATTTGTGCCTTTGTTTCAGCCCAATACGCTTTCCATTAAATCATAATCGGTTTTCTTCCAGTGCCTTTGCACAAAAGAGTAATAGAAACAGCTGGTGAATAGGGACATGCAAAAGCCATCTGTGATCATTCACAGGATATAACCTTTATTTTCCTAATATTTCCTTGCCTCTTCGGGCTTTGGTTTTAAGTGTGGGGTGCTGCATATTCTTATTTTTTCCCATTTTCCCATGTTCTGGGTAATCAGCAATACTGAAATAGCCTTTACAACTTCTGTGTTTAGGTTTTCTGTTTCTTTATTATATTTATTGGCTTTATGACAGATTTTAACCATTGGCATCTCCAAGTTCAGAGCATGTGAGTGTTACTGCTGGAAATGCCTTTCATCAGCATACACAAGTGTTTAGAGACCACAACCAGCTTTGAAATAGGGCAGTGCAAAAGCTTGTTCGTTGTGTGTATCTTCGGTGTATGCACCCAAGCAAGACGTGTTCATGTGACAGCCGCAGACTCAAAATGGGGCTATGCAAATGCCACTTTGGAATTGGACCGCAAGTCAGTTTTACCCGGGGCTCACCCAGGTTTATCTTGTTTCCTGCGTTCTTGTGCAATGTCTTACTGCTCTTGTAGTGTCTGGGGCAATCACTTCATCCTGCTATGATGGATCCCACCTACAGAAGGTGCCGTGTAATACCTGGTCGGATTGGCAGAGCACTGTTTTTTTGCCAAACAGCTTTAGTATTATTACTGAACAGACTTCATTAAAATTAGCTGAGTAGTCCTGAAATAAAGCATGTAGAAAAACATCCAAGCTCTCCAGAGTTTTGATAGGAGAACAGAGAATTTCAAATAAGCACCCAGACACTGGGGAATTCCAATCTAAATGATAACTGCCTTGGACCAGAGAAACTGGTGGCTCCCTTGACATCATCTCCCTTAATGGAAATGTTTACTGGGGACTATGAGCATCTGGCAGGAGACACTCAG